TTATATGAAACATATGATCATGGCTTCAAATTCACCACTAGCTAAAAAGAAACTTAGTTACACATGTTCATCATAACTGAAAAGCAATCTAAAATAAACATTGAAACTTAAAACAAAGAGAGAAAGAACTCTGAAAATTTTAGCTACTTCAATGGATGAATGGTAAGTGTGGCACCCCTTTCAATGTTGCAAAACACTTCAGATATATATATAGGGCACGTCTAGGGTTTTCTTTAGAGTGAATGAAAAGAGAGGAAAAATAGGTAATTAGAATTGTCTAATTCGTCCAGAATAAAAAGGGCAAGTAAACTTGGCTAAAAGGTAAGTTTTTGGGGTAAAAGAGGCTGGAAGATATTCCAAAGTGATCCCAGCAACTTAGCATTTATTTTGCACTTTTTTTTGTCTTATTTGGCACCTCCAAATTAGGCTAGATATCCCAATTCCTTTCCCATTCTATTCTTGGTCTTCTAACAAGCCAAATTCATGTTTGATTCTTTATTTGGACTTCATAAAAGTCACTAAACTTCTGTCCAACTATGATTCCTCTTTCTTGTGGAATTCCTTGCCTTCCAAGCCTTAACTTTAATTTCTCCATATTTTAGCACATGTTTAACACCTTTTAAACACCAAAATGTCTAGCTCATATGCTATCCACGCTTGCTATCCAATCCAAGTCCAAAACTGCTCCAAATTGCCCCATTTGACAATTTATTGTCCTTTTTACCAACTGGACCTACAATAATATGAAAATAACTTAAATTACTATAATAAATGGAAATTAACTAAGTAAATGCAAAGAAATAAGATAACAAAGTCGTATAAAGATGCTCCTATCACTAGGTCTTGAATTTCATGGGTAAAGTTTTGATTTTGAGTGCATACAAACATAATTCTGCCTTTAATTGTTAATTGCATGCATAGATGTTGTTCAAATGAACTTGTTTTCACAAATTATTCCTTTAAAGGATTCTTGGAAAATGTTGGAATAGGAGATTACCCTTGGTGGTATTATTCTCTTCTACTTTTACTGTACTTTACTTGTGTTTTGACATCATGTGTAAATTGGGTTCAATCCCGCTCACATGCTAACTCTTCCATTTAGGCACTTTAGGTTTAAACTTATTTACATTTTCTACCTCACTACACTTTATGACTTCGTCACCCTCTGGTTGTTTGTCAGCACAGCTCGATTCGGAGTCCAGTGGACATCTCGAGTTGGGATGTATCACGAACCGTGCAAGTGAAAGACCTAATTGAGAAATGCTCGCATGCAGTCACACTAAGTGAAACTAGTTTGGTTTTCACCACTCATTTAGTAGCACATGTATACCATTATTAAATTTAATTAATTATTTATATTTACGGTTTGGTTCTAGGTGGTTCTACTAACATGAAAATCGGAACCGAAACTGGTATGAATGGTTCGGTCTGGTTCTTGAACCTGTGTTGACTATTTTTTGTCAACACAATTTTTTACTATTTATTTTGTTACGATTCGATTCGGTTTTGCAGTTCCACGATTTTTATGCCCACCCCTAGTGTATCACATGGTAGTAACATGACTTAAATTGGCTGAAAATTGAATAGATAAGCTTCAAATCTAATACTAGGGATGTAATTGACATATTTTTATAATTCAATAACTGATTTTTCTGAAAGAAATAGTTTAGGAACTTAATTTTTACTCATGTGATAATTCAAAGACTAAATTAGTAGTTCACCTTAAGTCTTAATTTGGACATTAAACTTTTGGTGTTGTGTTAATGAATCGTGCACAATATTGTCAAGTCTTTCAATGCCAACCGTACGATTAAATAAACGGTTGAGATAGGATGCAAACCAACCCTGTTTCAGCAAAATAAGAAAACCCCTCATTTGGATCTTCAAAGCTTCGACTCTGCATTCACCAAACCCCCTCTCATTTTTTTCGCGGACTCACCAAAACTCGAGCTAAACCGCGGGATATCGACCGGGTCAGACTCCCTATCGAATTGGGGATTTTTTTTTGCAGTTATGTAAAAAATTAGCTCAAGTCGATAATGTTGTGGCTAAATATTGCATTAATTGATTCATGGCTCATTTGAGTGTGGTTTTAAATTGACTGAAAAAAGGCAGTTGCATTTATTAAGGATTTATTCGAAAAATACTTTCACCAAAAGTGCTTTCAGTTATTTTGAAAGCATTTTCAGATGGGCAGTAACTTTTGTTTTCGTCAATTTAATACGATTGAATGCTTGCTTGTATATAATTATGCTTTTTGGTATTAGGATTATTGGGTAATTTGTTGTGTTTTTGTTGTTGGTTGTTTGTGTGTGTGTTTTTTTCTTTGCTTTCTTCAATTTAATACTATTCAATAATTGCTGTAGAATTTTGTTCGACTGCAGGAACTTGAACCATGGAAGAAGAAGATGATTATTCTGAGTATGTTCCAGTGGCGAAGCGACGAGCAATGGAGGCTCAGAAGATTCTTCAGCGCAAGGGGAAGTCATCCGGACTTGACGAAGAGTTGGAGAAATCAAAGCTTGCTGAAGCAAAACCTAGCCTTCTTGTAAAAGCATCACAGTTGAAGCGTGACGCTCCTGAGATTACTCCAACTGAGGAGATTTTGCAACAAGAGAAGGAAATGATCGAGCACTTATCAGATCGCAAAACCCTCATGTCAGTTCGTGAATTGGCAAAGGGAATCACTTACACGGAGCCTTTACTGACAGGTTGGAAGCCCCCATTGAATATAAGGCAGATGTCGAGCCAGCAATGTGATTTTATTAGAAAGCAGTGGCACATCATAGTTAGCGGTGATGATATTCCACCACCCATTAAGAATTTTAAGGATATGAGATTTCCTGAACCAATTCTGAAGATGTTGAAAACCAAGGGGATTGTTCAGCCAACCCCCATTCAGGTGCAAGGTCTTCCGGTGATTTTAGCAGGGAGAGACATGATTGGTATTGCGTTTACAGGTTCAGGAAAGACATTGGTTTTTGTGTTGCCATTGATTATGATAGCATTGCAGGAGGAGATTATGATGCCAATTAATCAAGGTGAAGGGCCTTTTGGATTAATTATTTGCCCATCAAGGGAGCTTGCAAGGCAGACTTATGAAGTGGTGGAAGAGTTTCTGCTTCCTATGAGAGAGGCTGGATATCCAGAAATAAGGCCTTTGCTTTGTATTGGTGGAGTGGATATGCGGTCGCAGTTGGAAATTGTGAAAAAAGGTGTCCATATAGTTGTTGCTACTCCTGGGAGGTTGAAGGATATGCTGGCAAAGAAAAAAATGAACCTCGATAGTTGCAGGTAAGGAATGCCATTATAAAACCTCTTACAAAGTCATTATCTTGAGGTTTTCCTTCTGCAATTCTATAAATGTTATGTATAGCTACTAGAATAATGATATTGAACAAACACTGCTTCTCGTGGGGCACATAACTGAATCCCTAATGATTTGATCTAATTTTAAATTTTTTGTAGTCCTTACCATGAAGCTCATACATTTATGCAATTGAATTATGAGGAGTTTATTTTTCGAGTGATTACCCAATGAAATTAACAATGCTTATGTTATTGGTTGTGGTCCATTAACAAGTGTTTGTGCATTTTCTTGCTTCTGCCTACACATTTATGCTTCAAACTTTTGATACAGTTGTGTTATTTGGCTTTTTTTACTTATTGAGGCATCCTAATTCCTAGGTTTAAATTAAGATTCTGGCTGTGAGCCCAATGTACACAATTTTTTTTTTGGAGAAACTTTTACTGAGCTTCGTAGACTTACGCTACTTTTACTTGCAGATATTTAACTTTGGACGAGGCTGATAGATTGGTAGATTTGGGCTTTGAGGATGACATAAGAGAAGTTTTTGACCACTTTAAAGCTCAACGACAAACACTCCTATTTTCAGCCACCATGCCCGCAAAAATTCAGAACTTTGCTAGAAGTGCTTTGGTAAAGCCTGTAACGGTAAATGTGGGAAGAGCTGGAGCAGCAAATCTTGATGTGATTCAAGAGGTTGAGTATGTGAAGCAAGAGGCCAAGATCGTTTACCTTCTTGAATGTCTACAAAAGACCCCACCTCCTGTTCTAATATTTTGTGAAAACAAAGCTGATGTGGACGATATTCATGAGTATCTTCTGTTAAAAGGAGTGGAAGCAGTGGCCATACATGGAGGGAAGGATCAGGAAGAGAGAGAGTATGCCATTTCTTCTTTTAAGGCAGGGAAGAAAGATGTTTTGGTTGCCACTGATGTTGCCTCAAAGGGTTTGGATTTTCCTGACATTCAACATGTCATTAATTATGACATGCCACCAGAAATTGAAAACTACGTCCACAGGATTGGACGAACAGGAAGATGTGGCAAGACTGGAATAGCAACAACTTTTATAAACAAGAATCAAACAGAAACGACACTTCTTGATTTGAAACACCTCCTGCAAGAGGCAAAACAAAGGATTCCACCCGTTTTGGCTGAGCTTAATGATCCAATGGAAGATGTGGATGCAATTACAAATGCAAGTGGGGTCAAGGGTTGTGCTTACTGTGGCGGTCTTGGTCATCGTATCAAAGATTGCCCCAAACTAGAGCAACAGAAAAGCATGGCAATTGCCAGCTCTAGGAGGGATTATTTTGGATCCGGTGGTTACAGAGGGGAAATATAAGATTTATGTATACCTCCTTCACCGTTCACTTTACAAGCTGATACAGGTCAAACTTTGATCCATTGTACTCTTTTTTGTTTATTTATGCATATAAGTACTTGAGCCTTTCCCTAGACATGAGGGGGAACTTTAATTTGTTAGTGCAAGGCATTTTTTCTGGATTATCTCATATGTCAGATGTACATATTTATATCTGATATTGGAAAGCATATCTATGAACACATTTGTGCATTTCTGTGAGCCTCTTTGATAGAAGAGTAAATGTTTAATATGCAGCTGTTAGAACAATTTAAATATAGATTATTATCTGTTTAATTATGATATAACAGTGAATATCTAGCCAAGAAAAGAACAGAATGGTTGTCTATAATAATAGAAAGGACATGCGAACACGGTGGTTACAAATACCTTCTGGGATTACATATTGATGGAATCATCCATCTAGTTTATAGACGCATCTAAGATTTCTGTTGACAAGAGATGGATGTATATCTTGGCGTAAAATATCTGACAAACTAGCTCCTATTCTTTCCTCCTGTTTATCCGTCAAATGCATCGAAATCAGTCAGCCAAACACTTCAGCATATGAGTTCTGAGAAATAATGAAACTTTGTTACAAACTTACAGTTAAAACCAAGAACTTATATTATGTTATCAGGATATAGCATAATTTACCTGTGAAGGGTAGATACTTGTGTTTCCATCGATAGACTCAATCTGAACCTGCTGACATTTCTCCTTCATCAACTTGTTTCTTTCTTCTGCAATATCCAAAATTTCGTGCTTCATAGTTTCAGTTTCTTCTTCAAGAACCGTCAGTCGGTCACCGAGTCGATTCTCTTTCCTTTCCCTATCCTTTGGTGCACAAACGTAGAACCATTGTCAATTCCTTCCTCACTCTTGCACGCTTGATTCTTGTAAGCTCCTTCGGTGTAATAATTTCCATTGTAGAAATTACTTGAGGTATTGTGCAGGCAATATGAATCTCAGTATAATGCTTTCCTTGGAATTATTAGAATTTGACAATAATATTAGGGCATGCGATTTCTGACCACATTCTCCATAGGGCTCTCTTATCTCTTCCTTCTCCGAGATCGGGTTATGGAAGGGAGAAGAAAGAACCGAGAAGAAAGTGATGGGGAGGAGTTGGTTAAAGAAGATGCTTTTGCTTCACTTGTAAGAAAAGATGGTGGTGTTTGGAGTGTTTTATGACCTATCGATGCGTACGTGAGAATTGCAATACTGAAAGAGAGAGGGAGGAAGTTGCAAAGCAGTTGCAGAGTGTCCTTTTTCTCTAAATTTGCCCTCCATTCTTATTGGGAGGAAATGTCAGCAAAATCCAAGCGTAAGTTCTAAGCAGAGGCTACCCTTTGGTTTTTTTATGCTCAATTTTCTAGTGAAGTATCAACATTCGATTTTGAAATCAAATCAATTTATGTTTGAGGGTCTCATCGTCATTGCTCGTTAAACGTGCAAATGTGGTACCTTTTTCTACGCTACATAGAAGCCACACTATGTACCATTACGATCGATCCATCTGGGGCAACTGGTTGTCGTTTTGAGATTGCAAAGCATTGATTAAGGAGAAGTGAAAACTCCATGACGACAATGTTTCCACTCTATGTTTTATTGAATTTCGAAACAGGGAATAAGAAGTCGACTGACTTTCATCTAATTTGTGGCGCAGGGAAAGTCTACCCTCCACTTCAAACTTCACCTTCAATTGGTACAACAAGAGGAAAATCGAACCATGAGAAAACCACTAAGTCGATTGGCACTGATAAGTGAATTTTATATTATATATTTAACCCTGTTCTTAGTATATTTTGGTTCATATTTTGGAAGAATTTTGATACTTGGAATTGTATTTCTAATATAGGACTTTCGACTTCCTCTGGAGCAAAACGTGGTCAAATTGACGAATTTTGGAGTAATTCCAATGGGAGACGTTCGTGAGTCACTTGGGTTGATTGTATCAAAATATCAGATTTTTCCATCAAGCGGTTATTTTCTGGCAATAAAATAAAGGAGCAATGTGCATTGCTGGAATAGTGACATTTTGGGCTTGAATTGCGTTTTCGGAGCCCAAGATGACCTCGGATGGGTTCGTGGCCTTCTGCAGATGTGTTCAAAACGTCTTGATTTTCAAAACAAGCTATCATGGGCCGGATTTGGAGGATATCTGAGACTAAAACGTGGCTGTACAGTTACCTGGCAGATTCTCCTAGTTTAATTAGGACTTTATTTTCTAAGACATTTTATTATTATTTAATTTCGTAGTTGGAATAAGAGACTTATGTTTTAGGGTTTGTGCGATGGATTAGCAAATATATTGCTTGGCCGTCTATAGTTTTTCTCTACGCTTATTATTACGCAACTTCAGAGACAAAGAACTTTGCTAGGGTTCTTGGAGATTTTATACTTTAAGGTGTTTTCATTCCTTTTTCTTCTTAATAATATTTTCTATGATTTCAATTATGAATATGCGTAACTAATTCCTTTTGCTAGGGTGAAGCCTTGAGCCTTAGCATAAATATGTAATTTTTATTTAATTCCTTATGATTGATTGCATACACACTTTGAATTATTGATCACTATTTTAAACTATCTAATTGTCTTGATAATTGGCCACCGTTAGGATGTTTAGACAAGTGATTGGATGCAATTCGGTTAGAATATCACCGGAGGATTGAGTATTGCTTCTTGTGATTGATAATTGTAATTTCATCTAAGGCGAATATTACGCTCTTAGGGGTTGCATGGTTATTCAAAAGGTTTTCATAAAACTTAATGAGTCTTGCATGTTCATATTTGATCTGAATATTACAGACGGATTGCACGTTAGATATACGTTCTTGCTTGAATATCACGAGGAGAATATATATTAGGAAAACCTAACCTTCAAAATGGCATGTGTAAATCATGAGTAATTGGTAGAAATTCGTAGGATTGCTAGGTGATGGTAGAACCCTAGTGCTATTATAAATTGGTATTTAAAACTCTCTTTTCTTTTGTCATATTAGTTTTTAATTAAAATTCGTTTTTAATATTGCCCACTTTCATAATCTCTTTTCTCAAGTCATTAATTCTAAGTAGTTGATTAGGAATTGTTTTTACATAAATTATTAAAATAGTCCTTAAGGAGAACGACCTTGCATGAGCATCTATACTACAACATCCTTGTATTCTTGCAAGTATTTCATGTGATTTTGACTCTATTTGCATAGAGGTGGCAAAATAGCTACCAAGAAATTACCCCCAGACTTAGCTTTTTGCTTGTCCTCAAGCAAAATAAAACTAGAAAACAAAAATAAAAACTAACAAACTAGACACTTAACTAAAACTTAGCTAAAACAAAATTCTCACTTTCAAGTTGCAATCCATAGAAAATGTTAAAAATCATAACATCTTTTCATAAGTTCCAACCAATCCCACCACAGAGTCTAAGCCATTTAGAATCAATTAGAAAAGAATTCATAAACTTCTTTTGGTGTAAGTGAACCAACATAGTTAAGGAAATTCGACCAAAACTCTTACCTCTCATCCCTTTATTCATACTTCACACACTAACTTCACACACTAACTTCACATATATTTTTTTTCTTTCTCTTCTTTTCGACTCTTTCATAATAAATATTTTTTCTACTTTTTTTTTTGTCTTTTTTTTTTCAATAACAGTAGTGGTCGTGCAATGTCGGTTCACTTAAGCTTTCGATCCAACCCATGTAGCGAGCTTTAGGTCAATGACTCCCAAACCACTAGGGCTTTAGGGCACTAGGTGTAGAACACCCCTAAAGACTTATTAACCCGAGCTGGAAAGGCTACGAAACCAACTGACCACCTTGCCCCATGCCAAAACTCTATCGTTTAACGCGAGAATCACTGCTGATTAGGTAGGACTGGCCCGGTTACAAGGAAAAACCTCGGGTGAGACAATTATTACTTTATTCACAATAATAACTGACTTTACGTAAAACAAAAATTAAAAATAAACTTAGACAAAAAGCAAGTGTTTCAATCTCACTCCCCACAAACCATGTTAATGTGATGTGCAAATTTCAAAGTATAATTTATGAATTAGTGTCTAAACAACGATAAATAGAAAAGAATCTACTGTGAGATTAATCTTCACCCTGTCCATTTGTTCTAACGTTTAAAATAATCTATGGATATTAACTTAAAAACGAAAAAATTTAACTGACACAAAAACAAAAATCCTAAAATTTTACTTTCCCACCCCCAAACTTATTTCACACTTTGTCCTCAAGGTGTGGAAAATAAATAGAAACTAAGAAAAACAAAAAGAAAAACTAGAAAAGATAAAACAAAAGTCGAGACCAAATAAACTAAAAGAAAAAAGAAAATAGAAAAGAAACAAAGAAATTAAAATAAACAAATGATAGAACAAATAGAAAAGAAGGAAAAGAATCACCTGATTCAAAAATAGGACCTGGGGCCATGTGAAAGGCGTTGGAAACATAATACAAAAATGCGCTAGGTGCTGGGAACGAACTTATGACCAGGAGCTTTGTGAAGACATGCGGACCAACACGAACAAGTCCACACTTGTGTCAAACATGAGCAACAGCTGCTATAGAAACAGGTTCAACAGTCTTCATTTGTCATTTTAAGAAAAAAAAAAAAAAAACCCTAGAAGCTGCTACCCTATTTCCCTTTCCTCGAGCCCAAAGCCCCAAACGACTCTCTGTCTCCCATTTTGAAAAATGTCCTTGTCGAAACAAACATGACAGGCCATATGTCACGCATCCATATGATTAATTCCATAGGATTCTAAAAGGAAGGCTCAAATGCACCCATTGCTCTCCATTCTGATTTTTTTATATTTTATTTTTAAGAAACTCCAGCCCTTTCTCACTAAAAACCCAAACGCACATCCATATCATAATTAGGTCTCCCATTTTCATCAGTCCACTATCTCTGTTTCACTCAGACCCCATATCGCTCTAAAATGAAAATTAGCTCTCCTTCTCTCTCAACCCTTGTAGCTCTCTCATTTTTCTAATCTTCTCTGCCTACAACTGAACAACATACCCCTGCCGTGTTTCAATAGCCCATCCATGGTAGAAATCGGAAAAAACTAAAAGCCAAAGGTAAAATCATCCTCCAATCTTCTGGTTTCATTGTCAGATTTATTTGTTTTAGAGAAATAGAACAAGATCTAACACATGCATGTGGTTGTATCTGTTTGAGGACCCCCAATCGTTGCAAATCTGAACTAAGCGACACCACTCGCTTGTCTCTGCTAAAACCCGAAACCCGAAATCAACCAGCTTATGCCATGAAAATGTGAAGGTAAAAACACAAAAGACATCGCGGACCCGAGTCATGCGGAGGTAAAAATTCTTGTCTCCACCAGTGATGACCCCCAAATGCAAAAATGAGGCCTCATTTACCCCCAAACTTAAATACCGGCATTCGTGGAACTTTCGAATTTAAAAGCGATAGATCCCAATAGTACCCCACATTTGATGATATATGAACATTTCCACTGTGTGTAACTCATACATGTAATTGTTGTGTTGCAGGAATGATCCAGATTGGCAAAGACACATTTGGCTGACCAAACTATCAGCCTACAAGGAAGAATGGCCGCGTAGCAAAATAGAAAGGTATAACATCCCATCCCTGCTTGTGTATTACAGATGGGGTTGATGTTGATGTAGCTAGACGTCGCAGAAGCTTGGTGGTCAGATTACCGGTTCCTTCAGAGTTAGTGACATGCGTGCACTTTTTTCTTCCACAGTCCGTGTTAGCCTTGCGATCGCTTCATTCATTTGAGCCAGCTACTCATCGATTAAAGTTGCTCCGATGCTCATGACTTGCATGGCTGAGCTGCTGCTTAAGTCGGCATCAGAAAGCATGGAATCGGAGTACTTCTTCGAACTTTCCTCCCTTGGTGCTCGTAGCGAGGCCAGGGTGATCACAGGCTCGTGCCTCTGGTGCTCTTGCTCTATCGGCAGAGTTGATGTAGGGGTGGAAGAAGCAGCAGAAAGAGCTCTTGCTTTGCTTCGGGTTATGATGCCCAAAGTGATACCACTTGCGGTGAGGACGCTTTGGTTTTTCGTATTGGTTGCGGGAACCGTTTGAACCTTCCTTGATGCCATTGGATTTTCGAAGGTGTGCTTTGATTTCCTTGAACGAAGAAAGAGATGAAAGGTAGAGATGGTCCCACTGGGCGTGCTAAGTTTGTAAACACGGAAATTCCTATGGTAAATAAGACAAGAACACATGTACAAAAATAATATTTGTATTAATGATTTTGGGGTTACAATCTCTCTCAAATTTAATCCTCTGATTTGATCTCTGTAAGGTGTTGATTTGTGGATGGG